AAATTAAAAACTCTCCAATCAGTAGAGTTTTGATTGATAACATATCAGAATTCAATCATACGTGTAATTTAGTTTAGTTTGACATGGGAACCGCATGATTTTCAATTTAATGAATGTACTTTCAGAGTGAAACATTATAAAGTTTACACCATCAGAACTGAAAACTTTAGAATGAGATATCCTTAATCCCGATTACTTAATCTGAGTATCCAATGGACACACTTTTGATTTTCTTCTTAAACCGTTCTTTCTTGGATATAGTTCTGTATATAATCTTAAATGGCGCGCAAAATTATCAATTTTTCGGCTTCATATACGCGACTCTGATTGGTTGAATTTCATGCACTTTTCAGGATACAAGTACAAGATTAGGTTAGTCTCGATATTAAGAAAAAGAGAGTATCAAGTATTTATCTCGATATCCACCATTCTAAAGTTGTAAGCATAGGTTGCAGCATAGATATTCAGTAAGATCCATAAAACAGTGAAATAGGAAGACACCATTTCATTTCTTTTGTGCAGAACACTATATATATATATTTAATAAAAGATCCAAGTTTTCTCCATGGCCACCAGGTTTATATCGGGGACCCCTATATTTTCTTTAAAACAAATTTTAAAAGAAAGTTTAGATTTATTTTATTAGAAATCCGTTAAAGATTTGTATGAGCAAGTATTTGACCAGTGGTACTTTGAATTCCACTTCAACTTGTTTATTTTCAACAAACTTTTAGAGACTTTATATTATAAAGTTGTATTTCCAGTTTTTTTGAATAAGTTAAACAATATTTGTAGAAAATATAGACCATGATTGATGAAAACTCTGCTCTGCACAGTAGGGTGCAGTCAACATCAAAATAAGCAGACATTTTTGAATCTTTCCGATAACCGCTGCTCAGGGCCCCCCCCCCCCCCATAGGCAACTTAGCTAGAGAGACTTTAAATATTATTTAAAGGTTATAGACAGGCTGGGAGCCAAGGCTCGGCCGTGGCTAGGCCAGGTTGCATATCAATTTTTTTAGGGGGGGGGGGGGGTCAAATCTCAAACATTCTCAAAAATTACCTACTTTTCTTTGTCAAATTTTATTCTAAATGCATTTGTAATGAAGATGACGTTTGTGATTCTTAAATCACAAACAGAAACATAAATAGAAATTTGGTGTAACGTATCTTTTTCTAATTTTAAGGCTGTATTCGGAGTTGAAACATTTAAATAGTTAAATAAGGTATGATTTTTTGGAATACAAAAACTACAAAAAAAAACAGTTATTTTGTGAAACCAGACAACTTCATATTAACATTTATTTTACAACACGTTTCACTGTACCCTACTGCAGAGTCTTGGTGTTGAAAGAAAATCAAAAAATTGAAAGAAACAAATATTTCATTCTCAACAAAATAGGTAAATTGATATAAAGAAGAAGTTCAAAAGATTACACGAATTTCTAAAAATTTTATGAAGGGGGGTTTGAAGAGGGATTGGTGGCTTCTCTCAGGGTTTTGGAGTGCGCCCAGGGTTTTGGAGTTGCTCCCAGGATTTTGGAGTTGCTCCCAGGATTTTGGAATTGCTCCCAGGGTTTTGGAGTTGCTCCTAGAATTTTGGAGTTGCTCCCAGGGTTTTGGAGTTGCTTCCAGGATTTTAGAGTTGCTCCCAGGGTTTTGGAGTTTCTCCCAGGATTTTGGAGTTGCTCCCAGGGTTTTGGAGTTGCTCCCAGGATTTTGGAGATGCTCCCAGGATTTTGGAGTTGCTCCCAGGGTTTTGGAGTTTCTCCCAGGATTTTGGAGTTGCTCTCAGGGTTTTGGAGTTGCTCCCAGAATTTTGGAGTTGCTCCCAGGGTTTTGGAGTTTCTCCCAGGATTTTGGAGTTGCTCCCAGGGTTTAAGAGTAAAATGTGAAAATTTATCCGACCTTTTGTACTGTCCTTGTTCAGATATTTGCAGAAAAATATGATTCGCCAACCTGAAAAAATTTGTTTTAGATTTTACATTAAATATAACTGGTAAATGTAAAAAAAAACTCTTTTTTAGCCAGATACATAAAGCTATCATTTGGACTGGTCTTTTTCATCTCTACATCTTATTTTTAAGTTTTATTTCAGAAAAAAAATCCGATTTTTCACTCTTAATAATCTTAAATTGATTGTTGCCATTAAAATGTGATTTTACTCAACATTCTTTTTATTATCTCCGTATCGAGATTATATTAGTTGTACAAAATTGTTCACATGTATTAAATAAAGCTATTTTACGATACAACATTTTTAAATTAATTAAGAAGAAATCAAACGGATACATTTTATCGTTTTTTCCTGCTACAATTGATGATACATTTGTATTCAAGTATTGATAAGACAGCATTTCAGGAAAACAAACTACATTATTTATAAAAGGATAGCATATTTGTATGCAATAAGACTGAGAGGTATTACAAACACAGTTTGTGTAATCGCATATTAGAAAATGCTAAACATAACTTTGTGCATGGTTTCAAACTACATGCACGGGGGCTAGTTTTCATTTTTAAATTAGAGAGAAATTATGTTATCTCATTACTTTCAAATTAAAGAGTGATTATGTTAGCTCGTTATTATTGAGGCTACATAATAAAAGGAACGTTATAATTAAGGAATGTACCCACGAGGAACATTGAATTGAAGGTTCCTCGTTAATACTAATACTAATAAGGACATTCAATAAAAATAAAATTGTTCTTTGTCAAATTTAGAGCCATCAAATAGCTTGGATTTTACAGACGTTGTATCATACAAATATGCTCAAGAATACCTTAAACTTTAAAATTAACTGTTTAGCGTACATTATTTTGATCATTTAAATATTTTTGATCATTTGGCATTTGATATTCTGATATTTTTGCATTGTACCCTCTCTTAACTGCTATGTCCGAACTTAATATTTTTCAAAATATTTTTTATTTTTTATTTTTTTTTTAGAAATATTCCCTGCGGAACAGAACTATTTCAATTTTTTCATACAATGCATAGTTTTAGAGATAGGGACAGTGGTCGATATCGACCGCTTTGTCAACACAGGATTTTAAAATGGCCAAAATCGACCTCTACGGAACAAAGCAAAGTTTGTAATTTTTTCTATTAAAAGTAAATATATCTATAGTTTAACATTGAAAACAGCTTGTTTGTAGTTTGTAATTCAAATATCTTGACACACGGAGGCCTAAAAACCTCCAGCTTTACTCAGTGTTAGTCTTTTATTTACCAAAAGAACAATTCCTAAATAAATATTGAAATTTTCTTACAGTGTCTAATTAAGATGAAAAAATGAATGTCCATGGTTTTCTACCTGTTTTCTACAACTGCAAGAAAATCTAGAAATAACATTTTAAATCGGTGTTGACGATAGACTAAACCTTTAAAGAGCAGTTAAAGTAGAAGTTAGAAATAACATTCAAATGTTGAGGTTTCGTAATTTCTACAAGTAAAATGTAAATCATGAAATCGTAACATGAATGATTTATCATATTTTGATATTTTAAATAAATTAATTAGCGTAATAAACACATTTTAATATATAACAACAAAGAGTATATAATTACTAGACTTTTAGGGCGCTTCTTGACCATATTCTATTTAAGTTTTAATTGTGGCTTTATCTGTGAGCATCTTCTCTTTGTTTAATATACAGCTATGAAAAAAAATTTCATGGAAAATAATATATCTTTTTTCCGCATTTTTAAAATTCAACAAATATCAAATAGTTTAACACACATTTTTTCATTTAGAGCTTTCAAATATTCCTTCCCTTGGGTCGTGTGAGGTCCCACACAAAATTGGGTCCGATCAGTTCAGCTGTTTTACGTTTTTCGGATACAGATGGACAGACAAACTAAGAAAAAACAGACAGACAGACAAGCAAAGTATATTTATGTATATATATCTATATATGCTGAAGAATGTCAAACATAATAAAAACAGTAACCAGCACAAAACCGAATTAAATAAACAATAGAAAATGTGCTAAACATATTTTAAGAATATATTGTGGAAGACGAGACCCAGCGGCCTCCTTACAACAAAGCCAGGAACAAAGAAGAGAGCTGGAGAATTCTACACTGCATTCTCTCTAGTTCGATTCATGTGATTCCTACCGATATACCTATAGACTTGTTATCTTAGAATCAAATATATACTGAAGTTAGACTCCTTGTGTTATTTGGAGACCGACGCTACGTCCTCCATAATATATATATATTTCAATTTTTAAACTTCAGATTTTATGAAAAAAGAATTAAAACATAATGGCTCATGACGATCCTCAGTATATATATAACTGCAGGGAAATATATAGAAATAACATTTCAACATCAAGGTTTCGTGATTTATTTTCATGGTAAAATATAAATCATGAATTCGAAATACAAGCATATAATGAATAATTTGGGCCCGATATTCAGCAGTTTTGACGTTTATTGGATAAAATCAAACAGACACACACCCTGACAAGAAAAGTATATATATAGACACTCTTTACAATAAAACAAAATACTTATTTTCCATTTCACACTATTAAATCGATAAAAAAAAAACCTGAATTTTCAAAAATTTCTGGTGTGATCGCAATAAAATATGTTTTTACAATTAGACCAATAAATATGTGCTAAAGGAAGACGACATTAAACCAATCTGAGTTTTTTAATATTTTTAAAGCTAAAGGGTATTTACTAGTACTTATTATTTTATATTATTTTCTTATTTCACTTTTATGACTCCCGCTATTTAGAAATTCTTTTAAAAAATGTTAATTGCTACAAACGATATCTTGAAAACCTACTCTACTTCACTTCCCTTTCAAAGATTTGCAAGTTTTATTAAATTTTTAAACTTAAACATGAAGAAAGCAGATTGCATAATATCTTGAGAAAGCAGATTTACAAAACACAGCGAGAAATACTTGAAATACACTTTTACTTAAATTTTGACAGTTTGAACGTTTTATAATCTTGAACAGAGTGTCTTATAGTGATCAATAAGCATAACTGATATCAAAGTGTAGGAACTTATCTGAATAGTGTAGTACAGCCTTTTTTAATCTTCTGTACATACGATAACATATATTTAACAAGAAACAAAACAAGTAAGTATAAATAACTTTAGTAGTTTAAACAGGGGCATGCGAGAGGGGGAGCTCTTTTAATATTAAATTTGCTCGCATTTCCCTTCCTCAGGCAATCTACATTCTACATTGCATTGCATTGCACTCACCCAAACTAAAAGATTAAGAAAAGAAATAAAATATATTCTGATTCACAACAATACCCTTCAAAGCTTTGTCTGATCAAGTATTGCATTAAATATCCATGTTTTCCATTTTGAAAACTAATTATTTTTATTTTTGGTTTCTTTACAAAAGTGACTCGTGCATTTCTTGCTTCAAAAATGATGGAGAAATATAGGGTTTCAAAGGTACATCGGATATGCCACTCTATAAATGGAGGGTCACTTGAAATTACGCATGTATTCCATTTAAGTATAATTACATCATATAAAAAAAATACTTTAAAATCTCATTTTTGCCCTTAACTAAAAATTTTTTATTAAAAAAGCTTTAATGAATATTGCTTTTGATTTAAATATATAATTAATATTGATCCTTTGAAAATATAGATATTTTTTAGAAACGCTTCAATCTCTATTTTTCATCCCTTGAAGCTTACACCACAATTAATATGGATTACATAAATAATTTATTAACACTTGTAATATGATTGATGATTAATAAAATGGCAAAAAGTGTATTTTTTCTTTAAGAAAAAACTAAAATTGTTTAATGTTTACATATAATGCTAACAAATTTTAAGTACGTTAACAAAGTTTTCATCAATTTTAAATATTTGCAAGTAAAATGAAATAGCAGAAGACCAAATTTTTAAGAAAGAAGCAAAAAGCCCATTCCTACCTCCTTTCCCTCCTCTCTCCACTTTCTGATTCCATTGAAATATATTTCGCCTCATTTCTACCTTAGCAAGAAATAATGCAGATTTTATTATAAAATGTATCCTTCTATCCTTCAACTAAACATCCTATGGATAAAATATAAACAGATTTTATTATAAAATGTATCCTTCTCTATCCTTCAACTTAACAACTAATGGATAAATATAAACAGATTTTATTATAAAATGTATCCTTCTATCCTTCAACTAAACAACTAATGGGTAAAATATAAACAGATTTTATTATAAAATGTATCCTTCTCTATCCTTCAACTAAACAACTAATGGGTAAAATATAAACAGATTGTATTATAAAATGTATCCTTCTATCCTTCAACTAAACAACTAATGGATAAAATATAAACATATTGTATTATAAAATGTATATCCTTCTATCCTTCAACTAAACATCCTATGGATAAAAATATAAACAGAGTTTATTATAAAATGTATCCTTCTATCCTTCAACTGAACAACTAATGAATAAATATAAACAAAATATCTATAAAAACTGTGCTGCCATTTTACAAATTTAAACAAAATTGGTGTTTCAACTGTTCAAGGGACTTTGCACATAAATTCAAGTGATTTGCGATCCAAAACTATACCCTTTATAAGATTTGTCTGCCCAACCATGCATAAGATGAATTTAAAAATTTAAATTATTTAATTCAAAATGAAATTTACACCAAAATGCACAATGCCAAATAAAGAAAGCCGCTGACACTCCTAATATGAATTTTTTTTGTGTGTAACCAGCGGAGGGAATTTTTTTTCACTGGAGGGATTTGAAAAAATGCTTTTTACAATTCAAAACTTTACGCAGGGTGATTTACATTCCACTGGAGGGATTCAGATGTCCTACTGAATCCCTCCAGTGGAATTATAAACCCCCAGGAAGAATATCTGAATCCCTCCAGTGGAGTTATAAACCCCTAAGAAGGATAATTGAATCCCTCCAGTGGAATTTTAAACCCCCAGGACGGATATCTGAATCCCTCTAGTGGAATTATAAACTCCTTGGAAGGATAACTGAATCCCTCCAGTGGAATTATAACCCCCCGGGAAGGATATCTGAATCCCTCCAGTGGAATTATAAACCCCTTGGAAGGATAACGGAATCCCTCCAGTGGAATTATAAACCCATAGGAAGGATATCTGAATCCCTCCAGTGGAGTTATAACCCCCCAGGTAGGACATCTGAATCCCTCCAGTGGAATTATAACCCCCCAGGAAGGACATCTGAATCCCTCCAGTGGAATGTAAATCACCCTGCGTAAAGTTTTAAATTGTAAAAAGCATTTTTTGAAACCCCTCCAGTGAAAATAAAATCCCTCCGGTGGTCTTTTATTTTTTGATCCTTATATTATTTGATCTAACAGAATTCATTAAAAAGTATAATGTGAAACAGTAATTAATCTATTTTTAAATTTCTCTCTCTTTAGCTCCGCCTGCATCAGTAACCTTTCTGACATTTATTAAAGTTAATTTTAACAAATTGAAACGATGCAACCCATTTCATTTCATTTGTGAAACAAGGTTTTGTATTTTTTCGTTACATATTTGAAATTCTGCTTTTAAAAATTAAATCAACGTTGCACAATTTTTTTCCAGGTTTTCATTTTGAGATCAAAGCATTTTGCGTATTAAACTATTAAAGCAAAAAAAAACTGCGTTTGAGCTTGAAACCTGTGTTAAAACTTGAAAACTGTGTTGAAACTAAAAACTGTGTTTTAACTAAAAACTGGGTTTGAACTAAAAACTGTGTTTAAACTTTAAACTGTGATTAAGCTAAAAACTGTGGTAAAAGTAAAAAACTGTGTTTAAACTTAAAATTGTGCTTAAACTAAAAACTGTGTTTAAACTTAAAACTGTGCTTTAACTAAAAACTGTGTTTAAACTTGAAACTGTGTTAAAACTAAATACTGTGTATAAATTAAAAACCGTGTTTAAACTTAAAACTGTGTATAAACTGAAAAATGTGTTTAAGCTAAAAACTGTGTTTAAAATTAAAACTGTGTTTAAACTTTGCAGTTTAAACTTGAAAATTGTGATGAATCTGAAAACTGTGTTAAACTTAAAAACTGCATTTGAACTAAATCTGTGTTGAATTTGTAAACTGTGTTTAAACTAAAAACTGTGTTTAAACTTAAAAACCGTGTTTAAACTCTAAAACTATGTTTGAACTTGGAAAATGTGTTTGAACAAAACTGTGTTTAAACTAGAAAACTAAAAACTGTGTTCAAACCTGTGTTCGAACAAAAAACTGTGGTCAAACTTTGAAACTGTGTTCGAACTAAAACTGTATTCAAACTTGGAAACTATGTTTGAACTAAAAACTGTGTTCAAACTTGAAAACTGTGTTCAAACTTGAAAACTGTGTTAGAACTAAAAACTGTGTTCAAACTAAAAACTGTTTTCGAACTAAGAACTGTGTTCAAACTTGAAAACTGTGTTAGAACTTGAAAACTGTGTTCGAACATAAAAACTGTGCTTAAACTTGAAAACTGTGTTTAAACTGGAAACGTGTGATTAAACTAAAAAACTGTTTTTGAACTAAAAAACTGTTTTTAAACTGAACACTGTCTTTAACTGAAAACAGTGTTTAAACTTTAAAACTGTTTTAAACTTGAAAAATGTGTTTAAACTAAAAATTGTGTTTGAACTTGAAACTGTGTTTGAACTTGAAAACTGTGTTTGAACTTGAAAATTGTGTTTGAACCTGAAAACTGTGTTTGAACTTGAAAACTGTGTTTTAACTTGAAAACTGTGTTTGAACTTGAAAACTGTGTTTTAATTAAAAACTGAGTTTAACTTAAAAACTGTGTTTAAACTTAAAAACTTTGGTATAAGTAAAATTGTGTTAGTACTAAAAATGTGTTTTAATTAAAAACTGATTTCGAACTTGAAAACTGTGTTAAATGTAAAACTATGATTTAATTAAAATTGTGTTTGAACTTGAAAACTGTGTTTTAATTAAAAACTGAGTTTAACTTAAAAACTGTGTTTAAACTTAAAAACTTTTAATTAAAATTGTGTTTGAACTTGAAAACTGTGTTTAAAGTAAAAGTATGTTTTAATTAAAATTGTGTTTGAACTTGGAAACTGTGTTTAAAACTTAAACTTGAAAATCTTTCATCTTTATTTAAAAACAGCTATCTAGGGGGGGGGAGGTTTCTCTGGTTATCCTTGATCCTGAATTCATTTAAAATGCAAAAAACTTTAAGATTTCAAAGATACGAGTAGAAGTGCAACATGCTGGTATCAAAAGATGCATAGAGAAAATCTTACCTTCCAGAGAGTGTATAAATTTACAGAACTCTCAGTTTTAAAGATTTTGTTGTTTTAAACGTTTGTTTTTATAAGACAACAGCTTTTAAACTAGCCCCGCTATAAATCCAATATTCACATATATCTTCCAGGAATGCAGTACACAGGTCAAGTTTAGGATAAGCCGGGTTACTTGTACGACTTTACCCGTATCTAACGACTTTACCCGTATCTAACGACTTTACCCGTATCTAACGCCTTTACCCGTATCTAACGGCTTTACCCGTATCTAACGACTTTACCCGTATCTAACGCCTTTACCCGTATCTAACGCCTTTACCCGTATCTAACGACTTTACCCGTATCTAACGACTTTACCCGTATCTAACGCCTTTACCCGTATCTAACGCCTTTACCCGTATCTAACGGCTTTTTTAAAAGATAAATCTGTAAAAGAACAATCAACATAAAATCAGTAAAAATCTATTTCTTTTATTAAATTCGAAGCCTTGCCATGGGTTGGAGAAATTCGTGTACCTTTATACTCTCTGTCTCTGTCACCACTTTTTGATACTCTTTGATTAATGTGATTTCTCACTGAAAATAAAGGAGATAAAATAATTTTAAATTATTTTGATTAAAAATCTATATTTATTTTAACTTTTTAGAATTGATGTATTAAAAGTCGCCATTTTGTTCGTACATCTGCTTTAAATCAAACGCTTGCGGATTTTTCTTATTTTATTAATGGTTTTCCAAACAAACATGTTCTAACGCTCAACTAAAGCCCACTATTTCTTCAGTCAGTGTACTGTAAACCCCACTATTTCTTCAGTCAGTGTACTGTAAATCACTGCAGTACACACTGAGAGCATAGTTGAGGGAATTCTAGATAAAATTATTCAAATTCTCAAAGAGCAGGTGAGATACCTTAAAAAGATTGGTTCAGTAGTTTTAACATTCATTGGATGTAAACATACAGATAAACAAATATTATATTTATATATATATATGAACTAGCTTGGGAACCCAGCTTTGCCAGAAAACTAAACTTTCACTAAAAAAGTCAACCTACTCAACTGAGAATTTTTAATGCTTGGAACATTCACATGGTTTTACAGAGTTCCTAATCAAAGGGTTTCTTTATAGGTAACCCAATCTTCAAATCCATAAATAAATCAGAAGCTAAGGATGATTTTTAATATTTATAGATTAAACTATTTTATTATTGATTCTCTGATAGATTGGGACTGGGAAAACTGTATCTTTGTCTAAAAAGTATAATTTATGATTTTTAATTTTTACGTTTACAGCTGATATTTGTCTAAAAAGTACCATTTATGATTTTTTATTTTTTCGTTTACAGCTAATATTTGTCTAAAAAGCATCATTTATGATTTTTAATTTTTACGTTTACAGCTGATATTTGTCTAAAAAGCATCATTTATGATTTTTAATTTTTACGTTTACAGCTGATATTTGTCTATAAAGTACCATTTATGATTTTCAATTTTTACGTTTACAGCTGATATTTGTCTAAAAGGCATCATTTATGATTTTTTATTTTTTCGTTTACAGCTGATATTTGTATAAAAAGCATCATTTATGATTTTTAATTTTGACGTTTACAGCTGATATTTGTCTAAAAAGCATCATTTATGATTTTTAATTTTTACGTTTACAGCTGATATTTGTCTAAAAAGTATTATTTATGATTTTTAATTTTTACGTTTACAGCTGATGTATTAAGAAATCAGTTTCAAAATATAAATCTTCAATCATTTGAAAATTTTACATTTTTAATCACAATCCCAATGTAAAAAGTGAGAAAAAATGTTTTTAATTTATATTTTTTTATTGGTAGCAATGTATCTTACGTTGAAATGATGAACTAAAATGAAAAACAATTGTAATTTTTGATAAAACTCTAAAAACTTTCTATTATGTTTAAATGTTGGACTCAATGTTTAAAAAATAGATTCCAAAAAATAAAGTAAAAAGGATAACGTTTAAAAATGATTAGAAGAAATCTGCTATACGTTCACAGTGTGCTGGGAAACAAATGATGAATGTAAAATGATGTAAAACATAATTGTATTATTTGCTTGATGTTGAATTAAAATGTTCCAAAAATCTATCTTTCCTTGATGTTGGACAAGAAGAAGTTTGGTATAGTTGTATTGTATTCGGGGGTGTAAAAAGAACCTTTATATTTTGTATTCAGTTCCAGTGTTTATGTTGGGTTAATTTCTATACTAAGTATGTGGGAGAGGATCTTTAGCATTCTCAAGCATGAGCACATTGTTTTAACAATAACTTATAGATGGGGTGTGGCTTCGTTACATGCACTATGTAGACGTTTGAATGCTTTGGTAGCTTTCGCTTTATTCTATTTATGAAGTTTGCCAGTTAATGTTTTAATTAAAAACTGTGTATAAAAACATATTTCTAATTAAACGCAAATGAAATTTTTGTTTGTTTGATTGTTAGCAATTTATCTTATGAATGATGAAAAACCTGCAATTTTTGATAAAATGCTAAACTCTAAAATCTTTAAAAAATTTTCTTTCATGTTTGAATGTTGGACTCAATGTTTAAAAATAGACTTCAAAAAATAAAGTAAAAAAGATTTACTCTATAAAGTTTCTCCGGCTAAGTGAATTTAGAGTGAGTAGGCTAGAATTATTTCTCCCTTTAAACTCCTATTGAAACCAGATTAAGGGCAGATTAAGAGAACGGATCGAAATTGAATCTAGGGTTAATGGTGGCTGATCTTTCAATCATCTATTCTCAAGGAATATTTAATTTCAGAAATTCAGTATGCTTCTCAGCTCTTCTCTATGTTGTTAATTTAACCTAACAAGTCAAGTCACTTAACATATAGTTAGTGTTAACCCACCAAGGGTTCATTCCCCAATGTACATATTCTCATATAAAGTTCGTTGTTTCATTAACGATCGTTAAGGACAATTCTTCGTTAACGATTGTTAACGACGACCCTCCGTTAACGTTTGTTAACATAATTGTCAATAATTTTTTTTTTCAAAAACAATCGTTTTTCTAAAGTTATCGTTTTTTTTTAAAACGACTGTTTTCATAAACGATCGTTATTTGTTTGCTAAAAGTTAAAAATGATTGAAAAACGAAACAAAAAAGATCTTTTTACGATCGTTTTCAAAAACTATTAACAACCCTATAATACAGGAGTGCCCTAGCTTGTGCAGAGGTAGGGTGAATATACAGTCTGAAAAGTATTTGCTGCAAAGGCCTTGTAGCAAAAAACTGAGAAAGATTGAATGTTTCATGAAGGTTTAGACGCAGATAAACAAAAAAGTAAATTCAAATCAAGTAATGAGGCAGTTTTTTCTGGTTATATCTAGTTATTTGTTCTACATTTATTCCAAGAGTAATATGCTTGTTTACTATGTGAGCCATGGCTGATGCAATGTTTGTACTTATATAACACTTGGAATTAGAATTTTGACGTATATTACTGTCAATATCAAACTTATGTAATTGTTTTCAGATTAACGGGATTGTTCACAAAATTAAATAGATATACAATTTCAAATAAACAAACATATATAATATTTAATAATTGAGAATGTAAACCAAGCTAGCTGAATACCCCCCTTTAAAATTAGGTAAATACAAAATTGAATTGTTTCTCGTTTTTAAAAAGCTATTCAGAAAATAGTTATTCAGAAAATAGTTATTCAGAAAATAGTTATTCAGAAAAACATTTAGCTTTTTTGAATTTTTGAGAAGTAACAAGGAATCATATGAATTTGACCTTCACCTTCTCTTTAGCTTGCACTGAAACAGTCGAGCAAGGAAAAAACACAAAAATGATTTACTTGAACAAACCTAAAAGATTTTTTACATTTTCATTTATGACTAAACGCCAGCTTAATTTTATAATTCATCACGGTAGCCTTTTAAGGTTTTTTATATACTCCTTTTTCTGTCAGAAAATTGATTATTTTAAGGTTTTATATATACACGTTTATCTGTCTGAAAACTGATTATTTTAAGGTTTTATATATACTCGTTTTTCTGTCTGAAAATTGATTATTTTAAGGTTTTATACATACACGTTTTTCTGTCTGAAAACTGATTATTTTAAGGTTTTATATATACTCGTTTTTCTGTCTGAAAATTGATTATTTTTAATTGTTGGTTTTCTCTATAATCAGTAAAGCTTAAAGGAGTACTGTTGTAAATGTGGCGTATGGCTCTTTAGAAGAAGATCCACTTAAAATCACATGTACAGTCACTTTTATGGAGTTCTCAGCATAATATCTAACACCCTTAAAAACAGTTTCATGGTGTATAATGTCTGTAAACAATGTATACCGTTCCTTTAAACGCATTTGAATGAAATATAATAACTGTCCCTTTAATCGCATATGAATGAAAGATAAGAATTAAAGAAATCCCAACAGTGTACTTCTATTGAATTAGTTTTTTGCTATTTGCTCAGTATAAACACGTGAGCTGTTCAAAATTCATCATTTCTATTCGTATTTTAACTTTGAATGGATATTTTTATTTCTATTTATATTTTAACTTTGAATAGATACTTTTATTTCTATTCGTATTTTAACTTTGAATAGATATTTTTATTTCTATTCGTATTTTAACTTTGAATAGATATTTTTATTTCTATTCGTATTTTAACTTTGAATAGATATTTTTATTTCTATTCATATTTTAACTTTGAATAGATATTTTTATTTCTATTCGTATTTTAACATTAAAAAGATATTTTTATTTCTATTCGTAGCTTAGCTTAGAATATATGTAATTATTTCAATTTGTATTTTAACTTAAAATATTTTAAGAACTTTTTTAAAAATTTCGGTTCAGCTCACATTTAATTTATTATATTGTGTGTCCAAGAAACTGCAGTACACTTTTATGTGAATAAAGAGTGTACAGTGATGACCATAAAACAGTGTAATGATTGTCGTCTTCGATTCTAAACAGTGCCCTGTTAAAACTTGTCTAATCAAGGGAGAAGACGATATTCTAATTTGGTTACTTTAAAATTCTTTTTAATTTGTGGCTTCTGTTTAAAGTCACTTGTAGATTATCTTGAAAAATAAAGATGTGACCCCTTTTTCTGATTTTTTCTTATGCCGAGAAATCTTTTTTTCATTTGTCTTGTTTTATTATTTTCAATGCAAAAAAAATCAATAAAAAAATATTTAAAAAAAAAAAATTTGGCGCATTTTTATTTTAGTTTAGATATTTTATCGGTATCCAAAGAGAATAGAATATAAATTTCTCTTTGATCTGGAACCAAAGTTTAAAGAGAAAACTTGAAAAATGAAGACAGTAACTAAAATTCCATTTCAAACGAAAAAAAAGAGAGAAACAAAAGCATGAAGAATTAACAAAAATAATTAATTCATTAAAAAATCATGGTAGATCATATTACAGAACCAATTTATACTTAAAATAAGGAAAAATCCTATTTTTTTCACAAATAATCTGACCCTCATGCAAAATCTCAAGAAAATTTCATAATAAAATAATAATAATTTTTGAATTTGATGAAAAGGTCAAGCAGGGCTTTAATTTGTCATGCTATCTCTATTGAAATAGAAGATGAGTGCAAACGTCAAAAAAGCCTAGTTTCCTACCCTCTACTATACATTTTCAGATCAAACATGTATTCAAATTATGACAAAAATACTCAGGATTGGAAAAAATGTCATTATTAATTAAATCATTGTTTCATTTTAACAATTTTATGAAGAAAAATTTATTTATACGTACAATTTTGTGGTAAAATGACAAAAAGTATATTTCAAACGTTTTTCCAATAAAAGGAGGAATGTGATAAAATAGCGGACAGAAATCATCCTATGGAAATAGGACTGATGCTGGAAAAAGAAGACGAAGATAATTCGAAGGTTATTTTTTTAATCATTAATCAAAATGTTTGATTTGTCGAAATATTTAGATAATTTCATTTTGTTTCAATTATTCACTATTGTGCAAAAAATATGTATACTATTTCTAGCAAAATGTAACCAACAAATATTAATTTTTCAACAAAAAATTATGTAAATGAAATATTATTAGTGTTTTTACATTTGAAGGGAGGGGGAAGGGTGGAATCATCTTTAAAGAGCCGTTTATACTTTTACAACATATGCATATCTGAATTTTTAAATTTCATCATTCACCTTCATTTCACTTTCAAAATAAACACGTGACACACAAGATTCACACGAGTACTCTATTTACACTTTTTTATTATAATGTAAAATAGATTATAACAGAATTAAGAAAAACTGTCACATTTAATTGTTGTTAAAATATTTGACTTCAGGTAATTGTAAACAAATAGTCTCTTTCACCAGAATCACAGATATAAGCAAAAAACCAAAAACAAAAAAAAAGAAGATTTTGTAACTGTTAAACAATGAATTTGTAAAACAGTTTGTAATACTTGTAAACCATAATTTTTGCAGTTTTATATAAATTAGCAAAGCTAGTCCAATGAAAATTGTGAAGGCCCCCTTTAATTATAGAAATAAATTGTAATGTATATATAATATATATGATGTCTAGACGGATGAAATGATGAAGAACAATGATGTAGAAGGGCTGAAAGAGGAGAAAAAAACAAAATGTTATAAAAAAATAATTGGTCTGGGGCTTATACTAACACTTATTAAGGTAAAAAACATTTTCAGGGCAAACCAAGATTTATGTATAACAATGATTTTACAATATCTATACTTTCAATAATACAATAATACAATGAAAACCACATAATTAAAAAATTTTATTCAATTTCGTTTAATATTTTTGAATTTTTTTATGGAAAAATATCAGAATAAGTTATCTAAAATAATCTAAATGCAAAGATGTTTTTAGTACATTGATTGAAAAAACCACAAAGCTTTAGAACATTTTTTTCAGAAATCGATTAAAAATGTATATTCTATGGACTATAATATCTTAAAGTTTTATAAAAATCTATTTTAAATGAAAGAATTATCACAAAAAACGTGAAAAATATTAGTTTCAAATCTGCTTACAAAAGTTGTCAAAATTAAGCTTTTTATAATTCAAACAAAACAATGTTGTTATTCAAAATGTAATTCATAATAGAGAGAACTTGAAAACACTGACTACATTTTTGAATCTTAATTTTGTAAGTTTTGGTGCAGATTTTCAAACTTTTGAGGGAAAAAAGGCAAATATATATATGCTTCACTTTCTTTCTAAAGAAAGATCATATTTCACCAACAACAAAGTTTTGCGGTTTTATATGTTACATATACATTTAACAGATATCAACGAGGTCATAGTGGACATTTAAGAGGAGAAGTTTTTAAATCAACAAATTTGATTTTATCAACAATACTTTTTGCAAATAACTTATTATGTTCTAGATTATTCTTTCTTCTCTTTCGGACTTATTGGTTAAAAAACTAGATAATGTGCATCCTATTACTCTTCTATTTTACAGGTAGATAGATAGATAAATAGATATTAACATTCAAATCAATAGTTTTGCGAGAACTTATTCCTATCCCCAATCTTATTCTGTTTAGGAGTTTAGCAATGCTATCCCTAATCTTATTCTGTTTGGGAGTTAGCAATGCTATTCCTAATATTATTCTGTTTAGGAGTTTAGCAATGCTATTCCTAATATTATTCTGTTTAGGAGTTTAGCAATGCTATCCCTAATAATATTCTTTTTAGAAGTTTATCAATGCTATTTCTAATACTATTCTGTTTAGAAGTTTATCAATGCTATTTCTAATACTATTCTGTTTAGAAGTTTAGCAATGCTATTTCTAATATTATTCTGTTTAAGAGTTTAGAATTGCTATCCCTAATAATATCTGTTTAGAAGTTTATTAATGCTATTCCTAGAATTATTCTGTTTAGGAGTTTAGCATTGCTATTCCTAAAATTATTCTGTTTAGGAGTTTAGCATTGCTATCCCTAATATTATTCTGTTTAGGAATTTAGTATTGCTATCCCTATTAATATTCTGTTTAGGAGTTTAGCAATGTTATCCCTAATATTTCCTATCTCTATTGGAACGAACAAACCTCCTTTTCCTGCCGACACCAAACCAAAGGAGAGATTTTTGTTAGTGTTAAGGTAAAATAGAACATACTAATGGTTAACCTTAATGCTTTAAGCTTGTTTTTTATTAATGTCTAAAAATAAAACTTTCCCTCCCCCTTCCCAAAAAAGAAAGTTGTGTAATTCACCCATTCCCCTTTACCAGCTATGTTTAAATTTACAACCCCTACCCCCCTCCCCTCCCCCTCCAGTGAGTGGAAAAATGAACTGTACAGTTTGCTTTAGCTGATTAAAAGTCGGCCATTAATTATCTGACTGTAGTCTCGGGATTATGATGTTGCTTAATTGTCTGACTATAGTCTCGGGATTATGATGTTGCTTAATTGTCTGACAGTATTCTCTGGATTATGATATTGCTTAATTGTCTGGTTGTAGTCTCGGGATTATGATGTTGCTTAATTGTCTGATTATAGTCTCGGGATTATGATGTTGCTTAATTGTCTGACAGTAGTCTCGGGATTATGATGTTGCTTAATTGTCTTACTGTAGTCTCGGGATTATGATATTGCTTAATTGTCTGACTATAGTCTCGGGATTATGATGTTGTTTAATTATCTGACTATAGTCTCAGGATTATGATGTTGCTTAATTGTCTGACAGTAGTCTCGGGATTATGATGTTGTTTCATTGTCTGACTATAGTTTCGGGATTATGATATTGCTTAATTGTCTGACTATAATCTAGTGATTATGATGTTGCTTAATTGTCTGACTGTAATCACGGGATTATGATGTTGCTTAATTTTCTGACAGTAGTCTCGGGATTAAGATGTTGCTTAATTGTCTGGCTGTAGTCTCGGGATTATGATATTGCTTAATTGTCTGACTGTAGTCTCGGGATTATGATATTGCTTAATTATCTGACTGTAGTCTCGGGATTATGATGTTGCTAAATTATCTGACTGTAGTCTCGGGATTATGATGTTGCTTAATTGTCTGACTATAGTCTCGGGATTATGATGTTGCTTAATTATCTGACTGTAGTCTCGGGATTATGATGTTGCTTAATTATCTGACTGTAGTCTCGGGATTATGATGTTGCTTAATTGTCTACTGTAGTCTAGTGATTATGATGTTTTTTAATTGTCTGTCTGTAGTCTAGGCTTTCAGATGGATTATGACATTACTAAAATGTCTGCAAAAATCTTACAATGAACAATGTAGGTAAACATATTTTGGTTGCAGAATTTACAGTTCCTAACTTATTATTATAGTTTAATATTAGATTTTGGAACAAATCATGAATGATCTTTTAATCCAATAATTTTTATTAGATATGACGTTTAAGAGTTTAACATATGTACTTATATATTTAACCAATTATCTCCTATCAACATTACAAAAGATATTTCCGAAAATTCAATTTACTCTCAGAGACATCTACAGGTTTTCAACTAAACTAAAATACTTAAGTCTAAGAGGGAGGGAGGAAGGCAAAGACATGGACCTTTTAAATTGACGTGGATTTAAGGACACGCTTTTAGTTCACAAAACTCTTCTTCGAGCTCCTTAACTCCTAACAATATTATTTCATAACTGTCACTTTTTAATAACCGTTTCAATTTTTTTCCATTGTTGGACAAAATACATTCCAAGAAGTGAAAGTTCATGGCAGGGAGTAAGAAATAGAAGGGAGATACAACTGACGCGGTTCGCCCTACCATATGATTATACATGCATTGCAGACGAGTACTCCATTTTTATATGAAATGTTCAGAATAGGTTATTGTATACGCAGTAAATGTACATCAGAAAAATACTTCTTATACAAAGGGAGTACTCGTCTGCAAAGCATAAATAATCATATGGTAGGGCGAACCGCGTCAGTTATATCTCCCTTCTATTTCTTACTCCCTGGTTCATGGTCGCATCTCCCTCCTTCCCTCGTTCAACCAATCATGGTTTAGCAAACACTTGTAATTCAACCAATGAGCAGAGTTGAGAGGGGTCGTACTTAGCACGTATATATGTGTTTATATATATATTACACATATATATAAAACACCCAACGTGAGATAATGTCTGGGCTTCTGTATTTCGGTCGGGAACATCAATTTCCAAATATATTTTAATAGATTCTTTTACCAGTTAAAATATTACAACTAATGTTACACAATTTTTACATTTGCAAAGAAATAGGTTTAAAATTATCCATGTAATAATTTTTTCAAAGAAGACGACATTTGAGACGGAACATTGTTTAATATTTACATTCCACAAAAAAAGTATTCAACAACATTGTTTACTGTTCGGCAGGTTCTGCAGGTTCGGCAGGTGTTTATGGAAATGTTTTTATTCGATTAAATGTAATAGAAAAAGAGTCAAATATATTAGTTAAAGGGGCTGGAAAGGATAAATGAAAGAGGGGTATAGGCTGAAACCTAGGAATTTTAGGAGCTGATCGAGAACCATGAGAGTTCTATTTGATGTTCTTGTCGCGAGAAATGATATAAAACTATACCAAATTTATAGGAAAATCTGTATTTTTGTATGAAATCAGTAGGTTTAAACGGATCATATTCAGCAAATACACAACCAATCTGAAAACGACGATATCCCAGAGGAGCCTAAGAAGTTTTCTCCTATTATTATTTGAATTTAATAATTTTTCATTTATAAAAGATATAATCATATAATTGATAATATTATTTATAGGTCCGTATAAGGTGACCAGAACTCCCACCAATAGAAGTACAGTATACTGTGGTCATGTGATACATTAAATTCAAATAATAATTGGAGCAAACCTAAGTTTCTTAAGGCTCCTCGGGGATATCGTTGTTTTCAGATTGGTTGTGTATTTGCTGAATATGATCCATTTAAACCTTCTACTTTTATACAAAACTGTATATATATAAATATATAGATTTTCGTATGAATTTGACTTTTTCTCGAGACAGGACCTTCAGATAGAACTCTCATGGGTCTCGATTTACTCCTAAAATGTTTAGGTGTCAGCCAATACTTCCTTTAATTTTCCTTTTACAGTTCCTTTAAAAGTGCCAAACTGCAGGCCTAATATTACTCCCGAGCGGTTTTTAACTTCACACTAGAATTTAAAGAGAATCATATTTCACTATTATTTAGTTTTAAACATCAAATGTTCAGATGAAAAATTCAAAGAGTACAATAAGAGTTATTTTAAAAAATTCAGTTTTTATATGTATCGGTGTTCTTTCTCAAGTTTCTGGGGGGGGGGNGGCGCTAGGGTGAATGACCCTTATGACCCCCCTCCCCCCTCCAGTACCTCAGAACTTGAACAAGATATTGCCTAGTCTGCCTGTATATATTTAAAAGGAAAATTCCTTGAGGAAATGGAATTTACCGGAATTTTTTGTTAACAAACATTTGACATAAACTGAAAAATATCATTTGACGTAAACTGAAAAATATCATTTGACATAAACTGAAAAATATCATTTGACGTGCACTGAAAAAAAATAAGTCTTTGGCCACTCACTCAAATCTATAATCCTTATATTTTTTCAGCCTGATAATGTGAACATTTGATTTTTCAAAAAAATTTAGTATTTGATCGGACGCAATTCGTAAAAATAAAATAAAAGGTCTACGACATTGGGTTGGATAAAGAGATTCTAAAATCAAAGTTTGTTGTAGGGTTTCCAACGAACGAAAATTTTCAAGAAAAAATGCCAAATTTTTCAAACATTTTTGCGATTATGAAATTTGCGAAAGAAATCTGAAACAATGAAGAATTTTTTGAGAGAAAAAAAATGTGACAATGTTGAAAATATTCCAACATTTTCACTAGCTTCTACGAATTTTTTTGAAAAACAGGTTAACGCAAAATTTTGTGAAAAAACAACCAACATTTTTTGCATTTGGGATTATGATGTTGCTTAATTGTCTGACTGTAGTCTCAGGATTATGATGTTGCTTAATTGTCTGACTGTAGTCTCAGGATTATGATGTTGCTTAATTATCTGACTGACAAAAAGTATATTTCAAACGTTTTTCCAATAAAAGGAGGAATGTGATAAAATAGCGGACAGAAATCATCCTATGGAAATAGGACTGATGCTGACGGACAAATATAGCGAGACCCCCTGTCAGGATATTGAACGTGTAACCCCACACCTTTCCGTTCTGAGCACTGACTAAAAATGGGCTTTTCAGTTGCATTTAGTCGTTATCCTCTTGATGAATGATAAGTGTCTCAAGGCACTTAAATAATACTGACTAATAGTCACAAATAGTCTTTAATATTTTGAGCTTCAGTCTATCCGGGATGCTCAATTCCATTTCAGATTCCATAATTTAAACCGGATATTTTCCATTTTCTTTTCTGTAAACCAGATATTTTCCATTTTTCTTTGTGTGAACCGGAAATTTCCAATTTTCCTTTGTGTAAACCAGATATTTTCCATTTTCCTTTGAGTAAACCGGAAATTATCCAGGATTCATGGTTTCTTGTTGTAGAGGTGTTCTTGGTTGTGTTGGAGCAATGGCTGTATTCTATGCATTACAACATATGCCTTTAGGTAAATCNAACCAGATATTTTCCATTTTCCTTTGAGTAAACCGGAAATTATCCAGGATTCATGGTTTCTTGTTGTAGAGGTGTTCTTGGTTGTGTTGGAGCAATGGCTGTATTCTATGCATTACAACATATGCCTTTAGGTAAATCATTTTAAATTTTTTTACAAGGTGGTTGGCGATAATATCAATATATGAAGACGACTTTTTTATTAAAGTTTCAATTGTTTACAAGCTTTTTTCGAACTACAAGTTTACAAGTAAGTAAAGAGAAGCTTTTTTAAATTACAACTTCTCTTTGTTTCTTTGCTTTTGTGTATACCATGCTGTTTAAAACCTTGGTATAAATCAAAATCGAAATCGGAAGTCGTCTTTATTATAAGGATATAATTACCTTCCACCGTATTAGCATGGAAACCCAGCTTTGCCTGCAAACAAATCTTTCTCTTAAAAAAAAGAATAACAAAATCGTCAACTGGCAAAAATGGCAGCTGGTAAATTTGGCAAAGTGTAAACTGACAAAATTGCCACCTGGCATGAAATTTGGCAAATAGCAAAATGGTCAACGGGCAAAATAGTCAAGTGGCAAAATGGTCAAATAGCAAAATAATATTCTGCTGTTCTATATATATATTCTTGATAAACTAGGTGATCAGAAGATGATAATATCCTGCCGTCCTGTTCTCTCCATCATTTCAGCAAGAATATTTCTGAAAGAACCCTGTGGAAAATTCGAGGTTTATTTTCTATTTTTTAATACAGTGAGAACCAGAATATAGGAGAGTTTTGTTCTTCTTTTACCTTTATTTCAGAAATGAATTGTCACCATGATCAGGACTTTTAAGTGAATATTTTTAATCTTGAATGCTTGATTTCGATATCCAATTTGGGCGGGCACTTTTGAAGGAATTGGGTTCTGATCTTCTAATATCTTGCAATTCTATGTTATAGACCCTTGATAAATAATCTAAGTTTAAAATATAAAAGGAGTACACCATCATGTTGCAATGATAATAGGGATTACAACATTTTTTTTGTACCAATTTTTGCGCAGAATTTGCATCAAACTCATTCTGCACAACTTTCACATTTTGTGCAAAACAGATTAACGGTGATTTCCGTGGAATCGCGGGAGTTTGCACGTTTTTTTTACGGAAAGATGCGGAATTTGTGAAGGAATGTGGTGTGCAAAATTTGGAATTTGCATGCAAGGTTTTTTCCTTCCGTTGAATATCCCAGTCGGTCATCCTGCCATGTACCTCTTTCCACCTTGGGTCAATTGAAATTGTGTTTACAGGCTTTTTAAAGATAAATTCTAAGGAATATATATCTGTAGATCTTGGCAACCCTCCTTATGATGAGTGGTGTGGTTCTTGTAATTCAACCAGATTTCATATTTGGAACAATGGGACTAGGTACATCTTTATTATTTGGAACAATGGCACTAGGTACACCTTTATTATTTGGAACAATGGGACTAGGTACACATTTATTATTTGGAACAATGGATCTAGGTACACCTTTATTATTTGGAACAATGGATCTAGGTACACCTTTATTATTTGGAACAATGAATGTAGGTACACCTTTCATATTTATAACAATGGATTTATGTACACCTTCCATATTTAGAACAATGGATCTAGGTACACCTTCCATATTTAGAACAATGGATCTAGGTACACCTTCCATATTTAGAACAGTGGATCTAGGTACACCTTCCATATTTATAACAATTGATCAAGATACACCTTCCATATTTATAACAATGGATCTAGGTACACCTTCCATATTTATGACAATGGATCTAGGTACACCTTCCATATTTAGAACAATGGATCTAGGTACACCTTCCATATTTATAACAATGGATCTAGGTACACCTTCCATATTTATAACAATGGATCTAGGTACACCTTCCATATTTATAACAATGGATAAAGGTCACCTTCCATATTTATAACAATGGATTTAGATACACCTTCCATATTTATAACAATGGATCTAGGTACACCTTCCAAGTTTATAACAATGGGACTAGGTACACCTTTCATATGTATAACAATGGGACTAGGTACACCTTCCATATCTATAACAATGGGACTAGGTACACCTTCCATATTTATAACAATGGATCTAGGTACAACTTCCATATTTATAACAATGAATATAGGTCACCTTCCTTATTTATAACAATGGATTTAGGTACACCTTCCATATTTATAACAATGGATCTAGGTACACCTTCCACATTTATAACAATGGATCTAGGTACACCTTCCATATTTATAACAATGGATCTAGGTACACCTTCCATATTTATAACTATGGGACTAGGTACACCTTCCATATTTATAACAATGGGACTAGGTACACCTTTCATATTTATAACAATGGGACTAGGTACAACTTCATTGAAGTACACTTTGACCCCTAGAAGTATGAGTTCGCGGACTGTACAATTCTTGGTGATTTTGCGTACATAAGCTATCTATGTTTATTTATTTATCTATAGCTTTTAAGGTAAAAAGTGTCATCACTCATCAAATAAGATCCCAAGACAATTCATAGGTCTCTGAAGTATCATGATTATTGAGGCAAATTGTACATACATCTTTTACTTTGCAATATAAAACATTTCTAATATCTTTTTTAAACTTTAAGCCTGGTTAAATATTTACTAAAAATGTCAATTTCTCAGGAGTTGAGAGAGACAGTGAATTTTTCCTTGCAGCCATTCTACTTTTGGCCAGTACTATTCTAACTGCTAATGTGTCAATAATACTCAGATACCTGAGGTAAACAAATATTTTGTTTTTAATCTGTTTTAACATTGTTATATATGCAATGCATATGTATATATTGTATAGTTATTAAAATTTCTAAACATATTAATTAAGTTGAGTAAAATTTAATCAAATTTCACGCCCTTCTTTTTTTTAATTGTGATCATTTTCTCTTTGTAAACATTGTAAAATAAAAAAAAGAATTTCGTTGATTTAAAAATTTTCGAAATTGAATTTTGTTATTGACAAATTTTTGAAAATTAGATCATCCAAAGTTTATAAACTCAGGTTTTTTAATCCCTATAGGCTTGCAGTTGCAACCAAATTTAGAAGACCTTTGATATTTCAAACTATAAATTTCGTATGATGAAAGGATTACACCTCTTTAAATTGCATTAAATTGCAAGTTATTTTGATTTAGAAAATTTGAGTTTGTGACAAAGATCCAATTCCTTTTCAAGAAATTAATTTAACAAATATTTATAATTAAGGAAGGAAAATATTGTGAGTATCATCATTTCCAGAGAACTCCAATACACCATCTTAACATTCATGGTAGTTAGCATAGTAGGTGCTTCATGTTTTTATTTTATTTTATAATATTCATGGTAGTCAGCATAGCAGGTGCTTCATGTTTTTATTTTATTATATAATATTCATGGTAGTTAGCATAGCAGGTGCTTCATGTTTTTATTTTATTTTATAATATTCATGGTAGTTAGCATAGCAGGTGCTTCATGTTTTTATTCTATTTTATAATATTCATGGTAGTTAGAATAGCAGGTGCTTCATGTTTGTATTCTATTTTTTTCCATGGCAAAATTTTGCTTTAAATTGACAGCAAGCATAGTTTTAAGTAACCATCCGTGCAGGATGACTTCCATATTTATTACGTGTATACCCTTGAAACCAATCTCATTAAAAATGTGAAAGACATAGCGTCGTTTTCATGACTCGAAAACTGTTAAATTCTGATAATTTCTTCCTTGCATCAGATAAGCAAGAATCGCAGAAGACATTTTCGCAAGGAAACCGCATACGAAAATTAAATTTTTTTTAAAATAAACTAAAACATGGATTTAGAATTTATACTTTATCAAACAAAGCATGGGGGGTCACTAGAAATTGAAAAAAACGCTTTGCTTTCAACGCTTCCCTGGCTGGATATTTTCAAAATCTTTTAAAACTTTACACATTATGCAGAGTACAGTAGGGTAGGCTGATTTATTACTATTCCCTTTGCAAAAGCCATGGGTTTTTGTGACTTAAATATCCCGAAAAGCAAGTGCAACAATAGTTATTAGCAAGTAAAAAAATCTTCAAAGTATCTGAATTTGGGTATCAAAATAAGGCTGAAAAACTTGTTTTTAAAACGTATATTTCACAGGGGTTCAGTAGTTAAAGAACACTATGAGTCAGAAAATTGATTTTTTATTTTAAAGGAATTGAGCCACAATCTCAGATTGTATAATCCCTTTATCTTTGCAACCTGGTGGCATTGGGTTGCATAGACATAGGGATTAGAAAGCCAGAACTTGTGGTTATAGACTCAATTCTTTGTTTTATTAATACAAGCTTCGAATTATATCACCTTCAGTTATTGATATAAAAAAATGTAAGTAAAAAATGTCAAAATTTTTTAATTTTATAGGTTTACCACTAGCTACGTTAGACACCTGGGATAAACTAAGGGTAAGTAGTTTATGCTTTTCATAAAATTGAAATATAAAAAACAAAAAATCAGTAAAATCAGTTTTAATCAGTAAACATAAAAACAAACTCTAATTGTATACAGTACACAAAAATACAAACTCCAGTTGTATTCAGTACACATAAATACAAACTCCAATTGTATTCAGTACACATAAATACAAACTCCAATTGTATTCAGTACACATAAATACAATCTCCAATTGTTTTCAGTACACATAAATACAAACTCCAGTTGTATTCAGTACACATAAATACAAACTCCAGTTGTATTCAGTACACATAAATACAAACTACAATTGTATCCAGTACACATAAATGCAAACTACAATTATATTCAGAAATCATAATTACAAACGCATATTTTTGTAAACAGGGATAAATAAGACTGGTTTGGGGTATTTTCTGTGGATAGAAAAAAAAATTTAAAAAGTGCCCTAAGAGTACATTTTTAATAATTTCCTGATGTGTTTTTAAAAACTTTCCTGGTTTTTATGTATTTTTGTAAATTATTTCTTTGAATCTTTTAACAAGAACATTTTTAAATTATGAAAATTATGAAGAAAAAAAATTCAAGATAAACAAGTGTAAAATAGTTGTGCAAACAGTTCAAGACTATCAGTGCAGAACGAAGCGCCAAAAATTCCTTGGGATTTACAAATTTTTGCAAATATGGTTTGCTTCCTGTACAAAAAGATATGTCAAGAGTTGAAAGATGTTCTGAATATTTTTGAATTTTAAATTTTCTAAAAATGTTTAGAATAAGAGAGAAGTTCTAAGGAAATAATGTATTGCAAATTTATTATCTGTATACAACTACATCGGTAACCAATGTAAAGAGTTAATTTAGTTAGAAATGCATAAAATATTTATTATTTAGTAGTTAAAGGGAGTGTTCGCGAAAAATGAAAGGGGGTATAGACTTAGTACGATAAAAAAGCGCTTTTGATCGCTACTAATCTTACTTCTATCTGTTGCAAACTTTAAACAAATGTGGCGAAAGATAATCGATGACTATAGGTTGTAATATCTAAATGATTTGTTTGAAATTAAATTAATTTTTTTACGGTCTAAGTAGCATGCTGCTATTTTCTCATTTTGCATGGCCGCTAAGTTATTCGGTATGAGACGTCCTTAACAATTTTCTCAATATATACGCAACAGATAGAAGTAAGATTAGTAGCGATCAAAAGCGCTTTTTTATCGCATTAAGCCTATACCCCCTTTCATTTTTCGCGAACACTCCCTTTAAGTTCAAATACTGATAATGGAAGACTACAGATATTCAGTTTTTTAATTAAATGATTTTATGGCGCTCTTTAAAACTGCTCCTGCATATTCATGGTTATATATTTCTTTGCAATCACTGAGATTTACGTAGAGAAATACGAAAACCCATTAAAAAATTGTCAAGACGACATTTCATAAATTCCTTCGATGACTCTAAATCTCTGGGGTAAACTGTATTTTAACTCACCACAAACTAGAGAGAAGGGGGGGAAGAAATATTACTGGTAAGACTTTACAACCTCGTAGCTTCTCGTGTTTTGATTATGCGAACAAGTATAAGAAAATCAAATAAATTTATCTGAGCCTGCGATTTAAAAAATTCAAGAAAATACGACTCAGGTCTAAGCTGTCGTTGGGCATTATTTACTGCTTGAGCTTTCTGATTCAAGCTGTATCTTATTTTCCACAAGTTTAGTTCAAAAAACCGGTTTAATATTCTATTGGATGGTGGATTTCCATGGTAAGAATTGCTGCATTCCGGGTTTTTATGAGAACAAGACCTCATTGAGCCTTATTCTCCACTAAAACCAACCAAGGTCGGTATTATTTTCATTGGCCGCCTAACTCCTACGTCGAGCCTAAAATCTCGCAGCTGTCAATCACCTGACACAAGCTGCCGTCAGAGTTGAGTCTAAGATTGGGTCGTAAAGCTAGGTTTAAGGAATTACGACCCGAGTCAAAGATTTTAAATCACGGGCTCTGGTTACATATCAAATATTCCAAACATATTTCTTTCTTTTTGGTACCTCATTTAAATAACCTGGATGTGTAAATAAGAAAAACTAAAGTTGTGAAAATTTCTTTTGACGGGTTTTTTGCACGTAATTTTCAAAATTTCTTTGCAAAACTTGTGCAATCCGTTTCCTCATTCTAACCAAAAAATTATCAAATTATGACAACTGCAAGTGGGTCAAAACAAAGATTTAGTATGTTACAGGAAAAAGTAGTCACTCAGGCAGTGTTCCTCAGGCAGTTAGTATAAAAAGCCTGGTTTTAGACCTAATGGGATGGCTATGGGTAATTAGGAAAAGTCAGAAAATTCCAACAACCTAAGACCAATACTTTTTGAGTTATGTAAAAAACTACAGAAGGGGTCAAATTGACCCCCCCCCCCCCAGCAGGAATACGGCTAACTCTAGTTTATATTTTTGAAGGTTTTGACTATGGCCTGTGTGACTTTGTCCTGCTGTGTCTTGAATATATTAGCGTTAAAGCTGGAGCAGGCAAACAAAATAGTTCTCATGGACAGGTAAAATACATCATTTACCGGGTATCCTAAAGAAACATTAGATTTTAGTGATAAATTTGAAAACGTGTTTGCCAAGAAATAGCATTTTAATATCTGATTTCAAAAGCCAAAATATTCTTATGTCTGCTAGAGTTTATTTTATGAAAACGATAAATGGCTGTAAAAATGTGTCTATGTGTCTCTTGTTTTATTCTGTAATTTTCTTGTTTTACTAACCTATATGCAGTCAAAACATAAACAAACAAATTGTAAGCATAGCAGACAAAATTCTAAAGGATTACAGCTTTCTCAGTAGGTATCGCTAGCTTACTCGATATCAAAATCATCACTCCATTCCCATGTTTATTGGGACACCCTGTACAATCAAACATATAGTTTGTGCAGAAAACAACTGCACCCAAGGTACTAATGCAAGGAAAGTTAATTACGGTCGCGTATACTCTGCGTACATATTGAAACCAGTTCTCTCTGGGCGGACTTGGTAGACAAGAATAGATGAATCAGTGTTCGTTTAGTATCCAAGGAGGATAAAAGAATTTAATTTTGATAATTTTGAAAATTCACATAATAGTTTCCTATGACCAGAACTTGAATTTGTCAGAATGACATTTTTTTTGTGAAAATAGGCTGTCAGGCTGTGACATCCGTCTTGTGTTCACTTTTCCGCCCAAAGACAGTACACTGCAGTACAAAAAATGCGTACACCTCTCAAATATCTTTCCTTGCATTAGTACCTTGACTACACCCATAGTACACTATAAACTTCCCGGTACTATATAGTAAATGCATCACGCTGGATTAATCGGGGCGAGATACATTTGGTTTCTTCAATTTGAATTCATTTGCGTGTAGAACCAAAGAGAATAGAATATATATTAGAGTGGAATTTAGAGAATCCTTCGGTATGAATTTTTTCAGTCCCTTTCAGACTGAAAGGGAGTTCAAAGTGTAAAAATCATGTAAATGTTCACAAATTATATGCAGTTGAGTACATTAATACAGTATGTTCCCTAGAATATCTATTTAAATTTTAAATTTTTAAAAGCTGTTAAATAAACTTTATAAAATGAATTAGGTGAACAAAAAACAACATTTGATTATGTTTATAACGGAAAATCATCGTTTGTTAAGTGAAAGGCATAGAGTCTATGTGAAAGTATCATTGGTCAAGTATGAAACCAGTCTATTTCATAATTTGGTTTTCTTTTAATATTAGTTTCAGATTTTCTATAAAATAATGTTCCAGGGCCCAACAGGTTATATGGCGCAAATATGTGAAGTACACCTGCAGTATGGAAACAATACAACAAAATGGCCGTTTTACACATTTTTCTAGTAAATTCCACTCTAATATATATTCTATTCTCTTTGTATTTAACTCAATCATCTTTAAACTTACCTTTTTAAACCTTTTTAGTCGGAAAATCCGAGGTCAGAAAAAATTTAAGACAACATTCATAAACTTATCATTCCTTGAAAAAAATTGAAATTTATTTTCATAAAACTCAGATTCATTAGCGAAAATATTTTCAAAACGATAGTTTTGAAAAAAGATCGCTTTTTGTTTTTTAAAAGTTCAAAAACGATCGTTTTTTGAAGCAATAAAAGGAAACGAAAAACGATTGTTTTTTCGATGGTGTTTACAGACGATTTACAACCCTATGCCTGCATACATTCTTTCAGGAAAAAAATTTAAAATCTTTGAAGAAATAATTAAAATATTTTAAATATTAAATCCACAGCCTAAAGTTTAAAGATATATCAAAAAAAGAGATGTTTTTATTCCCAGGATATTATCGGGTTGCAAGTTATTATCGAATCTCGGAATTCTATTGCGAAATTTCGGTGTTGCAGTTGTAGGGGTTTTTCAATTGATCTGCCAGGGGTTGTAATCTGGCAGCACATTAATCCATCCACTCTTCATTTATACTGAGAAGAGGGCTGACAAGATTCCTGCTGACTAAGGCCTTGCCCTTAGGCCTGATAATAGTAGAGTGCAGGAATTCCTCTAATATACTGGAATATAAAAAATATAACTAATAATACAGAATAATGATAATCAAATCATCATTGTAACACAAAAAAATTCAAAATATATTCATTTTTAAATAAAACTGTTTTTTCTGTTCAGATCATCAGCTATCGTTGTTGCATTTACAATACAGGTAACAAACTTATATAAAAGAGAAAACGGTCATCAAAAGAATTGGATTTTAAAAACCACCAGCAAGCAATCTATGCGAGATTATTGGTACAACTTTGGCGGAATTAAACTTGATAGATAAACAAGGTCTGAAAAGTCGCATGCTTTGCTGATAACCCTTTTCTTGATTGAAAAAGTTTGAATTTTCATTTTTTTTATCTTTTGAATAAAACATCTTTTTTAAGTAGAGAAATCAAAATTTTTCAGATCGTTGTTTTTGGTGACTACCCTGGACTTCTCACATGTATTGGTAAATTTTGTTTTAATTCCAGAATACAAAGGAATTGAGGCTTTATCACAAACTCAAACTTTCTAATTCCTACATCTTACTAACCAGATGATGTAAACCTTTGATATTTCAAACTTAGGTTATTTTATCCATTAGAATTCATAGTATAAAAGGTCTACAACATTGGGTTGCAAAGAAATAACGATTAGAAAATCTGAGTTTGTGGCAAAGACTCAATTCCTTTACTAGACTTTTTAGAGGCAAATTTTTGTAACTCTTAGCACTCACAATCTTTCTCTGATGATGTTGCCTTAAAAAATTTGGGACCCAAAGTGTATATATAGAAGATGCATCATACCGCCTTAAAAAAATGGGACCCAAATTATATATAGAAGATGCATCATGCTGCATAAATATCAATGTGTTATCCTTCTGCAAAAATTGTTTCTCTCTGCTTAAAATAATGATAGATACGTCCAAGGAGAATTAAATATTCAATTCTCCTTGGATATGTCTATATTGTAACAGTACATAACAACATGAGAAACATTTTTCAGTTATTTTTAAAAGCAAAATGATTATTGCTTTATCGTTTAGCATTTTCTCTTCCATGAGTTATTAATAAAAAAAAATTTTGCGACTTTATTTCCGTGAATTTTTTAAGTTAACAAAAATAAAAACTTTTCGAAATTCTGAGCATCCATGAACCTTCCCTGAGGTCATGTGAGGTCCAAAACTAAATTTGGACCCGATCGGGTCAGCCAATTTTTACGCTTATTGGATACAAACAGACAGACAAGCAAAGTCAATACATAGATTATCGGTTATGCGATTCTGATTGGTTGGATTTGCAATAGCCGATATGAAGCGCGCTAAGTGGACCTCGATTTATACTTTGCTTAACCCAGTTCTACCAGAATGATCGATATATAAACTATTTAGATACAGGGTGTACCAAAAAAAACATGGGAATTCAGTGAGGAATTTGATATCGTCTTTGTTATGAATTAGCATTGTAATACCTAATTTTAAAAGCCATAATATTATTATGTCTGCTAGAGTTTATTTCATGAAAAGGGTAAAAGACTGCAAAGATGTGTCTATATCCGCAAGATGAACAGGGAAGACGGACAAGTTTACTCTGTTTGTATTCTGTAATTTATGCGGCCACGTGTAAGGTTAAGTTATGACACTTTCTTTTATTTAGGGTTAGGTGAGGTTAAGTCTCTTTCTGGGCCGAGCGCTGCTGCCACGGGTTTGAATAAGTTATGACACTTTATGGGCCGAGCGCTGAGGCTAGGACTCAAACTCAATCTACAAATGTCATCCCCCCCCTTAATCATGCTTTTACTATATCAAAGAATTATTTGAAAATACGATATCGTATTCGTCACTGAATTCCCATGTTTATTGGGACACCCTGTAGTTTCTAGGATATCTTCTTACACAATTATCGTTTTAGGAGTTGGACTAGCTATGTGTGCCATTTTCTTGCTTGGAGTTAAGAAGATATTTCTTTCAAAGAAGCCAAAGGAAGATTCTGTCCCAAGCGCATAACAACATTATTTTTTGTACGCGTGTACTACACTTCAAAAATGTGTATAAAAGGGGTGTTAAAAGATGTAAATTTCAGTTTTTGATAATATGAGAGATAATTATGATATACAGAAAATAAACACTCCCTTGCAGTAAATATTCTGCAGTATGGAATTTTTCTGCAACTTAACATCACTCTTCCAACTATTTACAATAACAACATGGTTAATTTAATTCTGCCCTTTATATCAATCAATCATCATTTGGGATCGTATCTGATGGAATTAAATGGACCTCTGAGTTGTTAAATTGGGTGAAATTTTGTAGCGGAAAATAAGAAATAACCTTTTATCGCAAATCAGTTCTACATTTTTTAACTATGAAGAAATAAATGTGATGCCTTACATGATACCTTATGCACAATGTTAAAATAAGTTATTTTGTTTTATATGTTCCAAGTTCAAAGGATGAAAGTTAGATTGGTATGGGTGCCATTGGAAACTTTATAGAAGGTATTTGTGTACTTTTATACTGAATGGAAATAAAACTTGTGCAGGAACTAAAATAGAAAATTTTTTTGATATAATCTATAGAACTAGATTATTCACAATGTTTTATATAAGTTTAGTTTTAGGCTAGATGTGAGGCGCATGAGGAAAAGTCAGAAAATTAATTGAGTTTTTGCCATAAACTTTATTTTTATAATTCCTATATCTTTGCAACCTGATGGTTTCAACCTGTAATATTTCTAATTATGATACTAGTTGTAACGAAATACATAGTTTGAAATATCTGAGGTCACTTGGACACAGTTATAGAAGAACTATCAATTATATGAGTAAACTCAAACTTATTATCTGGGCAAACTAAATATCTATCAGACGTATAAAGTTCCAGTAATTGTTTTAAATTGATCAAATTTAAATCTTTCAAACTGAAAAAAAGGAATTCCAAATGCTGCTTTTACTCGAAATTAAGTGGTCGATGATCCTGTCCAAATCTCTTACTCCTTATTTAATATAATAGTTTCCTTTACGTTATTTATTTTAAAGATAAGTGCAAGGAAAAGAATAAGAATATAAATCACAAAGTATCTGGTTTCAAAGATATATATACCTCTAGTTTCACGATTCTTACAACTAATATATACGTATAGACTTAAACAAAATAGATTATACTGAACAACTTTACTATAAAGAGGAGGAGAGGAGTGAGGCTTAATTAAAAAGGGGGAAATTATCTAACTCAAAATAAGGGTTACGCAAAATAATACCTAGAGCAGCAAAAAAAAGAAGGCCCCCTGGGAAAGGTATCGCACTACGCCCTGAAGGGAGGGAAGGGGGTTTATATACTTTTTGAAAGGGGGGAAAAAGGGTATTTGCGTAATAAAAAAAGGGAGGGGAGGGTTGTATTGGTAGAAACAAAAAGGTTCGAAAAAGGGGGAACATCAATTAAGGGTAGAGACATAGGGGGGTGGGAGGCCTACGTTGGTCTAGGTATAATAATCAGGCAGGGGGATGACAATTTGTGTACCACTAGGCCTGACATGATAAAGGCCTAGCTACGGTATAAAAAAGGGGAGGGGGAAAAATCGATAAGAGTAAAAAAAAAGGGGAGGCTTACACCTGCAGAGATCTAATTCCGGTAATTGCAGGCATCGAAAGTTCTAGATCTCTGACTAAGGGTGGCAGACTAATTATCTTCTTTCTGATCAAACATAATTTTTTCACATCACATCCCTAATTATTGTTATTGATATCGTCGTCTTCGGAAGAGGAGATGTCCATGATTATTCCTTCATCCGAAAACTCATCTTCAGAACTCTCAAAATCTTCTGCATCTTCTGAATCTTCGTGGAGATCATTGAACTCCGGGTCGGGGGTGCATGTACACTGTACAGTAGTCCTGAAACAAGTAATACATTATTTGTTAGAAAATGTACAGTTATGTACACAGTTTATATATCAATTTATCGAGACAGGGACATCAGATAGAACTATTATTTCGTCGCTATCAACGCCTAAAATTTCTAGGCATTACCCCCTTTTCCTGTTATTTTTCCTGTTCAATTTTACCTTAACTGATCCTTTAAAAATTAAAACTTTAATCTTAAAGGTTTTTTAATGTTAAATGTTAAAAATGTGGGATCTGTTTCGTCTTCTTAGAACTATTTTTTTTCGTGTTTTTTTTCCTCTTTCGATTTTTTGTAACTAACAGAGCCAAACAAATCTATGCAACTTTTATTTCATCATAATAAAAGAGTAAAAAAGCAAAAATGTTACAATAGACTATTTCTATTAAATCCTAAAATTTCTGAAGATCGGGTTGACCAATTTAGAAATATTTTTATAATATCTCAACAACTTTTTTGAAGTCGATACAAATTGTTGTTCGGTCGGTCATAAAATAACGCAGTTAAAGGTTTCACATTATTTGAAATGTCCTGGCCATTCATTTGAAGACATTTCACTGTTCTATTTCTATTGATCTAATCATTAATAGCCGTGCTGTAACAATTAAACCTGAACTAAAATTGCGAAATTACGACACAAAAAATTGCGGATTTGTTCCCTTTCCGTCCATTCAATATTTGTAATTCGTATACTTTCATGGTTTCCACTAAAATCTAAAAAACTATTTTAAATTTATCATGATTGAAAATTGCAAAAGACGAAGTATGATATTGAAAAAGACGACATTAATCACGCTCACCTTGTATCTTAAGATCTCTCTCCTTTTATTTAAAATTTATTTTGTAGTTTTGTCTCATGATATTTCCTTGTTGGGATAAACCTTTAACATACAAAGAAACAAGATTACACAAGTCGTCTTTCACAGTCCAAAATTTGAAAATTGACGACAGAAACGGAACCAGTCCGGTAAATTTTAAGTAAATTCTAGTCTGGCTACCTTGTTCCATAAACAAGGGTTGGATTTTTATATTTTTATTTATATTTTTACATTCGGAAAATTATTTTTATAATCTAGATATTTCTTAATATCTCCGTCAATGGCAAAAACTCCAAATATTTCTGTTGGCAGCTGATGTAACTTAGGAAACTATTGTTATTGAATTTATAAAAAAATGCTGTTGTGTAGAAATTCACAAAGTCTATAAAGTTTTGGAAAAAGTCAAGATTCTGAATGCTATTGATAAAGAACTTGAAAGAAACTTTGAATGTTTACGTTTAGGGCTGAATCAAAGGAAATATGAGAACTAGCTGAAACTAACAAAAAAAGAAAAAAAAGTTAAATAAAAAATTATTTACATTTTGTATAGCTATTTGTTTTTAAACAAACTGTTCATGTACCCAACCCCAGAGACGTTATTTTTATACATTAAAAATTAATTCCTTTGTCCCCGTTCTTAGATTCAGTCAGATTTTATTTTATATTTGCACAGATATTATTGAAAAAGATTTAATGAAATATATTTTACTTTATGTCTATAGAGAAACTATAATATTTCACCAAACAAAAGTTACGTGAGATATTTTTCCAATTATTAACAAATATTCTTGCATTTGCTTTACTTTATTTAATTTTTTCCACCACAAAACATGTATTTAAATAATTGTAATGTATTTTGTAAACCAATGCTAATCCCGTTTTTTGGTCAGCATATATAAAACCGCCTGAATGGAAAATAAAAAATTTTTTTAGCACCATCTCTAAATAGGACTGGGCAAAGTTGAGGTATGTTCTCGACTGTAAAAGTTGTCGGAATTTGTTGAGAATGAGAATTTCTGTTCATTTATATGTTAGTGCTAATTGTCTGATACTCCAGGAACATTTTGGAAGGATTTTTCTTCAGATTCTAATTCCAGATATATGTGCTATATAAGAGCATTTTAGTACAGTACAGTACAGTACAGCACAGCACAGCACAGCACAGCACAATTTGTGCTATCACTGTTTACCTTAGCTATGAAGTAGGTTTCAAAAGCAGAGACACCGAGTTTTTTTAAGATTCTGGAAGTAGAGTATGTCTAAAACTAGCATGTATATTTTTTAGAAATCCCTGTCGAGCCCTTTTAGAGAAAATTCCATTTAAACTTTGTTGTTTAGTTTAGACTGATAAAAGGCGTTTGACTCAAAAGTTTTTATGAGATTATTAGGGAACCCGAAAAGTTTTAAGCTTTTCTGCTTACTTATTATCATCATATGACAAATTTATGATGTAGAATTAACGCATCGAAAGAAATTAACCATATAAACAATGATTTATAGGGTTTGAACCTCAAAAGATAAAAGTGGAAGCACATTTTAGTTGCATAAATCTAGGGTTTTCCACTATTCGTTTATGAGGATGAAATGTGAAAGGTTCAGATGCTTTTTATGAAATAAATAACTGTCATATAATAAATGTTATTAGTCTCTTTAGTATCAAACAACTTACCAAATTATGGAAGAAGACATTTTAAACTATTCACCAACTGTCATGATTCGTGGGACACCCTGTAGACTTGTAGTCTACTTTCAGAATCTGAAAAAATCTCAGGTTTCTCTGTTTTTAAACCTTATACTTCATGGCTGAAGTGAAGGGTGGGCAGAATTCCAATTTGATAAACATTTTATGATTTTTTAATGGAAATTTTGGAGTTTTGGCAAACCGTTCACATGGTTAATCCTTCAAACAAGCGTTGATGGATTATACCATTAACAATTTGACAACCTTTTTCAGTGCTTCACACAGCTTCTAGAAGGCTGATGACGCTAATTGCAATAAGACAACCATAACCGACAGAATATCTTCCGTTAACACCGTTAATAAAATTGAGATTGTTAACTAACAGTAACTTTTAAAAAACGGAAAATACCGTTGACGAAACAAACGTTTCATTTTCCCTTAAAACGATTACATGATATTCTTTCTTTTAACGGTTGGAACTGACTGTTAAAGAAACGGCTTGAAAGAGTTGGAATGTGCCCAGCCCTATCTCTGAACCATGAAATAATGAATCAATTAAGGAATATTTTTGTAAAAATCTAGAAAATTTAGTTCAATAAAATTAATTTCACATTATTTTTTCAAATTCCGTGATATTCGTTATAAGCTTTAAGCAAACGTAAATGGCTATGATGTCATAACATGAATTTAATCTGAATTATGCCATTGTCAAAAGTTCGATATGTTTACATTGCTTAACAACAAAGAATTGTAACTTTTCTGAATAGTTAAAAGATTTACTATTTTGACTTGTTTTATGACATGAATTACACGCGTTAAAACATGAAACATTTGAACGGCTTTTCAGTTTATATTTATATAAATTATAATGGTTAGATGACAGTATGTATAATAATGTTTATATTGGAGCCTGTAATAGGATCCGAGTATTAAAGTCAGTTGTTGAATAAGGATTCAAGAAGTATGAGACATCAGTTCTCTGCTTTAATCCTTCTTCTATTTAAGTGAGACATTTTATCAAGCTTAAAGGGACTGTAGATTCTATTTCAAGTGCTTTAAAGGGACTGTAGATTCTATTTCAACATTAAAGGGACTGTAGTTGCTATTTCAACTTTAAAGAGACTGTAGTTTCTATTTCAAGTTTAAAGGGATTGTAGTTGCTATTTCAAGTTTTAAGGACTGTAGATTCTATTTCAAGTGCTTTAGAGGGACTGTAGATTCTATTTCAAGTGCTTTAAAGGGACTGTAGATTCTATTTCAAGTTTAAAGGAACTGTAGTTTCTATTTCAAGTTTAAAGGGACTGTAGTTTCTATTTCAAGTTTAAAGGGACTGTAGTTTCTATTTCAAGTTTAAAGGGAATGTAGTTGCTATTTCAAGTTTAAAGGGACTGGAGTTTCTATTTCTAGTTTAAAGGGACTGTAGTTGCTATTTCAAGTTTAAAGGGATTGTAGATTCTATTTCAAGTTTAAAGGGACTGGAGTTTCTATTTCAAGTTTAAAGGAACTGTAGTTGCTATTTCAACTTTAAAGGGACTGTAGTTTCTATTTCAAGTTTAAAGGGAATGTAGTTGCTATTTCAAGTTTAAAGGGACTGGAGTTTCTATTTCAAGTTTAAAGGGACTGTAGTTGCTATTTCAACATTAAAGGGATTGTAGTTGCTATTTCAAGTTTAAAGGAACTGTAGTTGCTATTTCAAGTTTAAAGGGACTGTAGTTTCTATTTCAAGTTTAAAGGGACTGTAGTTGCTATTTCAACTTTAAATGGATTGTAGTTGCTATTTCAAGTGACCCTATGCTAGATTCACAACGGTACTCTTTAAACCTCTATCTCATCAAAAGTCGTTGTCTTGCTAGCTTGGAACGTATTTAGTTCTCATAATTTATTCCATCGGTTCGCATCAAGAAATCCGCAAGTCACATTTGTAGAGAGACCACAATCAAAAAATACAATTTTGTTAAAGAAAATTCATGGATATCTTTTTCTGAGGCAAACCTTTGAAAGGTTTGTAAACCAGATATAGCACTCTGCAACACTCTCTACTAGACTCTGCTATTTCTTCGGTCAGTATACTGCAAATCCCTGCAGTACACACTGAAAGCTTAGTCGAGGGTGACAAAAGTAATGTCATTTGAAATTCCATGTGGTGGGGGAGAAATTGTTTACTAAAAGTTTCTAATTCTAGAGCATACAAACATTTGCTATTTGCTTAAAACATATTTAAACAATCTTTAAGTTAGATATTGTGTCCCAATAATTATTTAAACTAAGATAATTGTTTTAAAAAGTGTGTACAATGGACCTCCCTTGATTCTTTTATCTTAAACAAATTGTTTAATTTTATCTCAAGACAAAATACTTCAGAAACTTTTTAAATTTTGAAGTAAAAATATGGCAGACCTCATTTTGTAAATCCCAAGATCATGTACTTTACGTGGATTAATATTACAAGGTTTTTATGAAAAATGTTGGGTATATCAAAGACGAATGAGGTACTTTAAATTTGGACACCCTGTAAAATAGATAATTGGGACACCCTGTAGAATAGATGATTAGGACACCCTGTAGAATAGATTTGAATTCAAGTTGAATATGAGCAATTTAAACCGTCCAATCAATTTGTAATGTTAATAACTGTAAACTTTTTACGCTGCAATTAGTTTTATTGACTAACTTTAAGCAATATTTCTCACTTACTATTTTATTCCTTTAATCTTCTTAAATATAAAACTTTTTGCTTATAGAAAAAGATACTTAATACTTAATAGTTGCCACTTCAACATTATGATATAATAAAGGCTAATAAAAAATACTTAATACTTAATAGTTGCCACTTCAACATTATGATATAATAAAGGCTAATAAAAAATACTTAATACTTAATAGTTGCCACTTCAACGTTATGATATAATAAAGGCTAATAAAAGGGGACCATAACACTTTTGAATTAAACCATTTAAGCATAATGATGCTGCTTCATCAAATTGGCATAATTTTCTTACATAATTTCATCATAAAAGGTATTGATAATTTTTAGGGAACTTAACCTTTTTTTCTTATTTCCTTTTATTACTTTTTTATTTTTGTTACAAACACCTAGAAAGGTAATTTTTGCTGTTGGGAACCGCGACTAGAGCAGAAAAGAGAAAATCCCTAGAGCCAAGATGCCCAAACCAAAGTTGACACTACCAAAGACATATTATCAAAAAATACACAAAATAATACACGGAAAAAATTATGTATAGCAAAAGTGCACTTTGAAAAATTACTTATGGCATTAAATGGCTCTTTTAAAAACAGAACTAGCAAATAATATTTTGCAAAAATGACCACCGTGATAAGAAACTAACTACTCCCCACAAGCTTTAACTTTCTCATCCTTGCATTTCCGAAAGTTTTTTTATGGTTTAACTTTCTGAACAGCTTTAGGAAAGTTTTGTAAGGCCTTCACAATCACAAATCCTAATTGATTCGTAAACAATGGAGAACCTAGTGTCAAGTAATCAGTTGTTTTGTACAATGAATGATATGAGTATATTTGTTTATGTCGGGTGGTCTCCTCACAGGAACTGGAGTTAGATAATCTTATTCAACGAATACAAGCTCAGCACCAACAACATTCAAGGATTTGCATCATTGATCTAGGTCAGCTATTTTACAGTTTAAACTCAGTCCAAGGTTTAAATGACGGGGAGGGTAAAACTGAATCTGAAATCTGACTTTCTCAGTCGAGTAACTTTCACGTTTACAGCTCTTAATACTTCAAAATAACTCACTGGTGCCAGAAATGGACTGTTTTTTCCAATTTAAGACGTCAAACAAAGATTTAAAAGCTTTTCCACTTAATCTTGAGTCCAGTCATTGAAGCCAAGATATACCCAAAACAGTTTTACGCTTGTAAAAAATTATTCTTAGTAATAAGCTGGTGTAAGGCCCATAATATATGTTGGGATTATTTTTTTTGAGTTGAGTCTCTCATCTTATTTGTAGCCAATTATTATCATAAAGATTTATTCACACACAAAGATATAAATACATATATAAATGGTGTAGTTTAAATTTGTTTAAATAAATTTTTGAATATATAGTTTTACAAATGAAAAAAAGAAAAATATGCAAAATTATGCACAAATAGGTGACATTGATCATTATTCATTACAAAACATATTTATCATTTCAGTTATTACGTAATCATCGAATCCTTCAAGATAAAAGTTATTGTTTTTTGTATTTAAAAGTTCTTATAAAACTGGATTCCAAACACTGTTTTGATAATATGCACTCATTGCAGCACCAGCCTGATAAGAGTGTGCACATTCTCACCCGTTTTATGCAGAATACCTCTGGACCTTTTTATTTCCAAACCTTGAAACAGGGGTCCATAATTCCATTTCTGATCCCACATGGAATCGGGGTTGAAAGTACATTTATGGGCATGAAAATACACGTTCTTTTGTCATTGTGAACTTTGGCAAGTTTTTTGTGTGTGTGTACTACATTTGGGGTGTTAAATGATGTAAATTTCAGTAATTAATATAAGAGATAACTTATGATAAATAGAAAAGTTAACACCACTTTCAGTAAACATTCTGCAGTATCATACTTCCAATTGTTTGCAACAACAACATGGTAATTTTCTGCCCCTAATATCAATCAATCAACATTTGGGATCGTATTAGATGGAATGATATGGACCCCAGCCTATAAACGGTGAAATGGGCTATATCCAGGATAAAAATTTGTTAAATTACTTTTTAACAGAAGAAATGTTCAACTTACAAGAACATTGCAGTGTAATTTTTATAATGTTTATTATGTGTTTAGTGGATGATCTAGAAATGAGTTTACCAGCAGCAAGCCCTGAAAACGGAATAAAAATAAAACATGCAATCAACTTTATCAGTTATGATATGAACACTACTATTCAAATGACAAAGGTATATTTAGATCTATAGTTTTTTTTTCAGGTTACCTTAAAATAAACCTTTAAGAATGAAACGTGCCTCAAAAATTATTGCAATTGGCAATATTGCTTTCATATTTTTAAGCTTAAAAGGTTTAAGATGAATGATTGGTATAAATTGTTCTTTGGTCACATATTTGAAACTAATTGTATCTAAATCTATTCGTTTTATTAAGGCACCAGAGAAACTCAAAGAACTGCTAAACAATGCTTTTGATTTTGGGGTAATTATTTTATAGTCAGTAATTATTACATTCTGAACATCAGAAATTTGAGCTAAGGAATCAAACATTAAAAATTTACAACTATCTTTGATATTAATCATTTTTTCAAATATTATGAATTTGAATAACTAGAGATGGGCACTTTCAACTTTTTTCATTTTGTTCACTCATCATTTCTGAACGACCTATTTCATTTTTTTTCAATAATTCAAAAACATTTGATTTCATTCATTCTCAAAATTATCATTCATTTTTCATCTATTTTGTTTTTCTTCTCACTTATTGTTTGTTCAATAAAATCATTTGTTCAGTAAATTTTTTCAAAATTCAGTTCAAAAAAAAATTTTCTTTTAAAAAACTGTCGTTTTTTAAGGTTTGTTTAAAAAAATTCATTCATTCTGTAAAAAACTATAGTTTTCCAAATCTTTTAGATAATTAGTTTGTTCAGTAAAACCAGATATTTTTCTCAAGTTTTTCAAACACTTTAAGTCATTTTCCCCTTTACGAAGAAAAATTCTGTTCGTTCTCAAAAATTTTGCTCATTACAAAAATCATGCCCATCTTTTTAAATAACTAATGTTGTGGAACTTTATTGCAAGTTTCAATTATAAAAGAATTTCTAATTAATCATGATAATTTCAGTGTTTTGATATATTTTCATTTACCATAACGTTGTTGGACATCAAATTCATAATTATATTCTAATTTCATAGTAATTCGATAGGCAAGCCAAAAGGAAGCTTATTTGATAAATGTATTTAACAGCTAAATTTGCCGATTAATTTATTGCAGATTTGTAAGTTTGACAATTTTCTAAATTTCCCTATTTATTTTCAGAATAAATGTACATCAAATTCAAGCAATCTTTTAACTAATGTGCCTAATACACCTTTTATAAAAGAACCATTCCCATCTCCTGACAAACCAGCAAGAACACCTAATGAAGAACCAGCAATGGAAGGACCTTCAAGACCATTTGTTGAAGAACCTGCAAGACCTCCTATCAAAGAAACTGAAGTACCTCCTATTAGAGAACCTGCAGAACCTTCTACAGAAATGCCAACAAGACCTTCAACTGAAGAACCCCAAAACTCTCCTATTGAAGAACCCCAAAACTCTCCTATTGAAGAATCTGAAAATCCTCCTATGGAAGAACCTGCAATACCACGTGTGGAAAAACCTGCAAGACCTCCTAACAAAGAAACTGAGGAACCTTCAAAACCTCCTACTGAAAAACCTGCAAGACCTCCAACTCAGGGATCTTCACAACCTACAAGTAAAGAACCTACCCAACCTCCAAGTGAAGAACCAGCTCCTGAGGCATCAACCACTTCAACACTCTTTAAACCCTCTTCGCTCCTCAAAGATTCAAATAATTCATTTCCCACAACCACAGATAAAACTAATAGGTATGAGGATTATGGAATTACACAAAAATTTATACCTTCATTGTTTGACCGAGATGATGAAAATTCCACAAATTCTGCAGAAACAACTGGGACTGACCCTGACAATAATACCCCAAAAGGTATAACTCCAAATTCAGGGATATCAACCCCTCTACCTAGAGATCTGACTCCAATAACTACACTAAGGCCAAAAGAAAAGGATAGAAGAACTGAAAGATTTAATCCTAATTTTACTAAACCCAAAAATATTTCGACATCAACCCCCTCTTTCTTCACTGTTCCATCAGGAGATAACTCTACTGATTTAAATAAAACTGTGCCAAGAGATTACAATGAAAACAGGAAGGAAGCTTTTGATCCAAATTTCTTTAACAGGAATAAAACTGCAACATCCACACCTTCAAACTCAAACATATCAAATCTAATAGATGAGATTCCTGACAGGAGACAGGGGTTTGATCCTAAGTTTATTCAGAATATGGAAAATACTAAACCCTCTCTTCTACTAGATCCAAATTTTACTCCAAACACAATTAATTCCACCCCATCAACACCACAAGAAAAAAATGTCCCACAGAAAGAGAACTTTAATCCAAGGTTTCTCAGCCCCAGGGAACCCATAACAAGGACAAATGATCTTGTCACTCGGCCGCCCAGAACTAGTGTTACCTTTATACCCAGAACAAGGAACACCCGTAAACCTAGAACAAGGAACACCCGTAAACCTAGAACAAGAAACACTCGTAAACCCAGACCAAGAAGAAAAAACTTTATCCCGCAGAATTCCATTCCTAGAACAAATAATCTTACTACCCGGAATCCTAGAACCAGAGGAAATGGTTTTAACCCTCTAGATCGCAGAAACAGGACAAATGAATTTTACACCACATCTTTTGGATATCGGAATCAAGAAACTGAAAACAGAACAAATAATTTTAACCCCACAAGTTTTGGTTTTCGGGATCAAGGAAATGTAAACCGAACAAACGAATTTTACCCCACAACTTTTGATTACCGGGATCAAGGAAATGAAAACCGAACACAAAATTTTGTTCCTAAGAATTTTACCAATGGTTCTGGTAATTCTTCCACAACTCCAATTAGAAATGAGTTATTTTCACCCACATTTTTAGAACCAAGAAGTACAGAGGAGTATATTGAAGTGGCTACATTTGAGGAGATTACAAGTTTAAATAATACACAGCCCAACAAGACCAAAGAATTTGAACCAAAACAATTAAAAACCAAGACAGGAGATGCTATTCAAGAAGCTACATTTACTGAGATCAGTGCAACTCCTACACTTGATGATTTTAAGCCTCCAACTTCTGTTAATGAACCGGTAGGTACTGAGTTTTTTGGGGTTATTTGATAATAACAAAATTTACATTATTTGAAAAAAGAATGTCTTTCCATTTGATTTAAGACGGTCATAAATTATCATTGTAATGTTTTTTTCTCATTTAAATTGTCATTGAGCTTTATAACCAAAAGCTCTAAGTGAAACCAAACTTACAGAATTTCCAATGAAATTGTAGATGAACCTTATGGTGCACTATCTAGAGTTTGAGAAATTTCTTTAAAATATAAGAAAAAACCAACACTTGGCTGATTTCAAATATTTTGGTGAGCATTTATGTTATCATGCTTTAAAAGACGAGTTACTTTAAATTACATTGACAATCCCGTTAAAGATTTCTAAAGATGAGAAAGTCTCAATTTTAGGTTGAAGGAGTAAATTCTGAAAGAGCAGGAATTCCTATAATCCAGCCTGGTAAGGTACTAGTATTTTTAACCAAGAAGCATTTATTAAGGGGGCTGTCTGCCTAATTTTGTAAAGCTCACTTATTTGAAAATACAACCATCGATTCCAACAATACCTGTTATCCATATGAAAAGAAGATTCAAATGGTGCTTTTGGGAAGCATTCATGATACTTTTTGTTATAGAAAAAGTAACTCAATTTAGCGTGGACAAACCTTTTAAGACTGATCCATTTTTTAAAAGATCTGATATTATTTTTTATCAAATAGACTGATCCAATTGTAACAGCTGGTATGAATTCAACAAACAGTACTACTGCTGATCCAATTGTAACAGCTGGTATGAATTCAACAAACAGTACTACTGAGCCACCCATAAAGTAAGTGACTATATATTTCTGTAGAGAAGAGTTCAGATAGAGTTTTTTTCCAAATAACTAAAGAAGCAAAAATTCAAACTTAAAAAGAAAAATCCTATAATTGTCACAGAGCGGTTATTTTTTAAAACATTTTATCTAAGTAAATGAAATAGTGACATTCGAAAAAGCAAAAATTCATCGAAGATATTGTTAAGGCATAGACTTAATTATTTAGAATATAACAACCAACAAAAAGAGAAATATAGCGAATAAAATTTTTTCATTTAACAAGCACGAGATGGGTTTTTAAAGTTAGGGCTAACTAACATAAAAGAATGGTGGCCACTATCCATAAAAAAAGAGTTCCGGAAATTATTCTATTTTATGTACTTTATTCTACAAAGCGTAAATAATACTGTGAATCCCAGATATATGGATACATAACAGAAGTTTTTGAAATGTCCTATTCTCAAACCATTTATGATCGAATGCCGCTGAATGACGAATATTCTATTTAAAAAGCTATCCTGCATATTTCAGGGCTGTTAATTTACCTTGAAATAAAAAGGAGTTTCTTAATTAATATGAAACAAATTAGGACACACAATAAGGACATATTTGGATATATTTCTATAAATTGTATTCAACCCTTCGAAGCTGCAAACATATGAGCAGCTTTCTTCATGCGCAGAACAACAATAAAGCATAACAGCTGTCATAAACTTTTAAATGAATTTCAAGACGACATTTCAGGAGTTTTTGACATGTATCCTTGTATGTGAGATCTAGATTTTCGAATTCAATTTGAAGTGATTTAAATATAAGAAATGATAAGAATTTCAGAATAATTTGAGACAGATCTTGATAGTAAGACTTCTTTAAAGGACCTTAGGTAAATAAGAACATTTATAATTAGAATGAAAATGTTTTATTTGGAATTGTTTTAACAGATGAATACGGGCAAGATTTGATGGACCCCTATGAAATTGGTATCGAGCAGGGTAAAAATTACAATCGTTTTTATAATATTTATTATTGACATCATTGTTAGTTAATATTATTATAATTATTACAATTATTATGATTAACATTAATATTATTATAATCATTTTTATCATTATTATTTATAACAGTTAATTTTTTATTATTAATTATCATTATTGTTTCATTTTTAACCTTTAATTGCATGTCAACCTAAAGATCAATTTTTTCTTGTCTTATTAAATCTCAGGTGGCATTATCCGATTCACAGTGCAGTGCCTTCTTAACCCTTATCTGATTAACCTTTCTTTATCTGATTAACCTTTCTTTATCTGATTAACCTTTCCATATCTGATTAATCTTTCTTTATCTGATTAATCTTGCTTTAGCTGATTAACCTCTCTTTATCTGATTGACCTTTCTTTATCTGATTAACCTTATCAAATCTGATTAATCTCTCTTTATCTGATTAACATTTCTTTATCTGATTAACCTTTCTTTATCTGATTAACCTTTCCATATCTGATTAATCTTTCTTTATCTGATTGACCTTTCTTTATCTGATTAACCTTTCTTTATCTGATTAATATTTCTTTATCTGATTAACCTTTCTTTATCTGATTAACCTTTCCATATCTGATTAATCTTTCTTTATCTGATTGACCTTTCTTTATCTGATTAACCTTTCTTTATCTGATTAATATTTCTTTATCTGATTAACCATTATTTATCTGATTAATCTTTCTTTATCTGATTAGCCTTTCTTTATCTGATTAACCTTTCTCTATCTGATTAACCTTTATTTATCTGATTAACCTTTCTTTATCTGATTAACCTTTCTTTATCTGATTAACCTTTCTTTATCTGATTAACCTTTCTTTATTTGATTAAACTTTCTTTATCTGACTAACCTTTCTTTATCTGATTAACCTTTCTTTATCTGATTAACCTTTCTTTATATGATTAACCTTTCTTTATCTGATTAACCTTTCTTTATCTGAATAACCTTTCATTATCTGATTAGCCTTTCTTTATCTGATTAACCTTTCTTTATCTGATTAACCTTTCTATATCTGATTAACCTTTCTTTATCTGATTTATCTTTCTTTATCTGATTAACCTTTATTTATCTGATTAACCTTTCTTTATCTGATTTATCTTTCTTTATCTGATTAACCTTTCTTTATCTTATTAAACTTTCTTTATCTGATTAACCTTTCTTTATCTGATTAACCTTTCTTTATCTGATTAACCTTTCTCTATCTGATTAACCTTTCTTTATCTGATTAACCTTTCTTTATCTGATTAACCCTTCTTTATCTGATTAATATTTCTTTATCTGATTTACCTTTCTTTATCTGATTAACCTTTCTTTATCTGATTAACAATGAGAACTAGATTTTGTCATTTTTATCTTAGAAAGTGATTCAGACAATTTACTCCATTGTTTTTGCAGCATAAATTTGCAAACCCCTGTTTACATTTTTAGGCTTCAAAAACAAAAATAGCTTTGTTCTTCAAACCTCCCCCCCCCTCCCCCTTCCCTTGATCAGACTAGGATATAAAGAGTACCGTTGTAAATCGGTCTGTTTAATGTAGGGACTAAAAAACAATATTTTTTTCACGTATTAACATCATTGTGTTAAGAGGAGTACTCGGACAGGGTTCTTCTTGATAACTTGCCATCTCCTACTCCTCAGGAATCTGTTTTTTAATTTCTAAAAGTTAGAATATAAAAATTTAGCAGGAGAGGGACCAAGAGGCAAGAAGTTTACAAAATCTAAGATTTTTTTATTACTTTAAGCCAGGGGCGCAACTAGCACTTTTATAGGGGAAGGGAACTATATTGAGTTTTCAAAGGAGGGGGAGGGCTTCCTCCACGTGTCGATTTTTTTTTTCAAAATGAAAGCAGTGTTTTAGGGAATAAAAGTCAAAAAAAGAAAAAAGTTTTTTGTTTTTAATTTTTTGCATGTTTGGCTCTGTAGTCTGTGCTTAACATGTGTGTGCCGAGTTCTTGTTCTATTATATAACTTGTTCTTGTTCTATTATATAACTTGTTCTTGTTCTATTATATAACATGTTCTTGTTCTATTATATAACATGTTCTTGTCATTTAAAACAAATTAGGTTCGACCCTCC